CCTGAGTCTTTAAGGTGACGTTTTTGTTCTTTAGCACTTTAAAGAAGTCCTTAACAGCTGATGTGCCCAATCCAATTGCCATTTATGAATGCTTGCTAACTCCACAGTCTCTGGAGAAATGGAGCCAGAGTACTTATTTATAAATAAGGATTGTGAGACTTTGTCTTAGATACTTTGGGCATGTTATCAAAAGAGGCCAGTCTTTGGAAAAGGACATCATGGCTTGGGAAACTGGAAGATCATGAAAAGAGAGAAAGATACTCAACAAGATGGACTTTGACAGTGACTACAACTTCACTTCATAGGAGCAGTGAAAACTGTGAAGACAGCACAGGATTGTGCAAGGTTTCGGTCTGTTGTACTGAGATACTATGAGCCAGACTCAACTTGAGCACACCTTACAACATGTTAATCACATTGCTGTTACATTCATTCTGACTCAGTGTGTTGTTACAGAAGAGAACGGGACTGCTCATGTCTCATCTAAGGTTCTCCAGAAAGCAAGCTTTGAGAAAAAAGATCATCGTGCAGGAAGTTATTAGGGAATTCTCTTGAGATCCCTTTCAAAAGAGCTAAGCAAAATAAGAAAGGCAAAGAATTTGTTATGACACAGAGTGACATCAATGAAGGTCTCAGTAAACCCCATGGAAAACTCTGAGGTGAATGTAGTCCTTCAGAGATGTTGACCAGGCTCCAGATGCAGGAACTGAGGAAAGAGAATGGCACTCTTCAGCTAACACTGAAAGCTAAGGGTTTTTTGTTGGTAACTTTTCAAAGCCCGTCTCTCGTGCTTTCCAGTTTAATTTCTTTGTGTACTTTCTGAGTGGAGCTCTTCCGGGATTCTGGTGAATCACTTTCTGTGAAGAAACCTGGAATATAGGCAGATGAATGACAGGGCTTAGTTGTTGGCATATTTTCATTCAAGGTCTCTCTGGCACTCTGACTACAGTACCAATCAAGTGCCTCCTATACCTGGACAGGTAAGATGCAAAGATGTGCACATGGATCACATAGTTACTATTATGAATTGAACTCTGCCTTCAAACATGTTGAAATCTTAACTCCTGTTATCAGTGGACATAAAATTGTTTGAAAATAGGGCTTTCTTTGTTACATTAATGATAACAGTTAAGGTAGAGTATGCCCTAAATCCAATCACAGCACAGACATAGAGGCAAGCCAGAACAGAGTATGACAAATAACCAAGGGGAGCGAAGGTAGTCAAGAAACTGAGGGATCCCAGGGCTAAAGAAACTGAGATTAAAAAAAAAGAATTTACAAGCAAAGCATAAGCCTTATTAAACCAACTTGCCTATCATAAGCATGTCAACTAAAAGTTTAAAAAATATGGTCAATTCTATGATATTTCTGTAGTGTATCTACTCTTTTAGCCTCCAAAATTACTGTTTGATATCTTGTCCCTCAAGGCAATTAAAATAATACTTTTGCACTTATTAGTTGCAGGATTATAATCTCAATGTAGCTTATCTTACTCTTCTCATCTGTAAAATGTGGGTG